CTTTCACAATAGAAGGATTAAGAGTCCGTTCTGGCTGGGCACGGTGGCTCATGCCTGTAATCCCAGTACTTTGGGAGGCCAAGGAGGGTGGGTCACTTGAGGTCAGGAGTTTGAGACAAACCTGGCCAACATGGCGAATTCCCATCTCTACTAAAAATACAAAAATTACCTGGGCATGGTGGCATATGCCTATAACCCCAGCTACTGGGGAGGCTGAGACACTCCTGTCTTGAACCCGGGAGACGGAGATTGCAGTGAGGCAAGATCGAGTCATCACACTCCAGCCTGGGCAACAAGAATGAAACTCCATCTCAAAAGAAAATAGAAGAGCCAGTTCTCTGAAGCATAGAATCAAGAAGATTATTTACTGCTTTGGCAGTTACTGTAACACTTCCAGGTACAGTGTAGCATTTGCAGTACAAATGAACACTGTATTGTTATTAGCATAAACTGTAAGTTCTGATTACTTCTAAGTATCCACTACTATCAACTGAAAAAGTGATTACCGATGAATAGTACCCCTGGCACGTCTCAAATGTTCATTAGTTCTATGCTGTGGGCCTGTTTCACTGCATCTCACCCACACAAAATATATGTTTAGATAAAATATTAATACATCGTTATATGGAAAATTATAAGCTGGATATCACATCACATCATCAGATATTTGCATTTTGACCTCTACCTCGGGCCTTAGAGATAAAATTATGTTAAAAAAAAAAAAAAAAAGTCTTGGCTGGTTGCAGTAGCTCATGCCTGTAATCCCAGCACTTTGGGGAGCCGAGGCAGGCAGATCACCTGAGGTCAACAGTTCGAGACCAGCCTGGACAACATAGTGAAACCCCTGACTCTACTAAAAATACAAAAAATAGCTGGGCATGGTGGCAGGCACCTGTAATCCCAGCTACTCGGAAGGCTGAGGCAGGAGAATTGTTGGAACCCGGAAGGCGGAGGTTGCAGTGAGCTGCGATTGCACCATTGCACTCCAGTCTGTGCAACAGGGCAAAACTCTGTCTCAAAAAAAAGAAAGTCTTAAGTTATTTAAATTGCTTCTGAAAAATCAACTGATATATGTAAATGAACATCTCAATCTCTAAAATGCACATGAAAGCTTCCAAAATTACTTAGCTCATTCTTACTCACATCTAAGTGGGGTTTTTACTCTCTTTAGAAGATACTTTAATTGTAGCCCAGCATCAAGAAGGCATAGTAAGACTTGTCACCAAACTCACATACACACTATGGCTACCCAGAGACAGTCCACAATCCCTGCTACCTACTTTTGAGGGCAAATATTTACATTCTGAAAAACGATATACAACTCAGTTTAATTTAAAACACTTTGGAAACAAAATAGGTGCTGTTTTGAATAAATTATGAAAGCAGTGCTCCCCTCCCCTGGTCTTGAGTTTCTATGGTTTCCTTCCATGGTTTCTTTCCTCTCATTTCTATTTTTAAAAGGTTAAGGGGATAACCTATCTGGCCGGGACTCCAGCCTGAGGCATTAATGCCTGTGGTATCACAGAAAAGCCACCCACTTTGCTTGCCAAGAGCTGGCTCTTAGACGGAGAAAAGGTGCCACATTGCTGGGACAAATAGAAGCAGAGTTTCCTTTCAGAGACGAGGGGACATGTCCCAGAATCAAAGAGTGTTTTATTACGTTGACTCTATTTTGGTTGTTCCAGGACTGATGTTAGTTATCTAAATGGCCTCTACTGAATGCACCTGTATCTGGCCACAGAAAGCCTCTCCAAGGAGACCCCCATGCCAACTGCAGTGTCTATGTGAATGCTCCCTCAATTTCCTTGTTCTTTACAGCTTAATACTCCCAGCTGGAAAGAGCTAACCAGACCTTGGAACCCTCTTTGTTCACAGGCTTCTGTCAGCATGGGCACCTCTGGTTCATAAACTTCCACAGGTCCCAACACATTCTCCAGAATTTCACAAGAAACATGTGTCTTCCTCACACACCCAAAACCAGGAACTGAATTACCAGGAGGCATTTGGCTTCATGGAAGTGAAGACTGCAGAGAAAGGAGAGAAGCAACTCATTGCTGGGGCACAATCAAGAAATCTGAAATCATCCTCTCAGGAGAAAGTTTCAGCAGCACTGAAATACAGTTTAGAAAATCATGCAAATGAAACCAATTCCTTGTTTTCATCTCAAAACTAAAGGTAAAAGTGCCGGGCGCGGTGGCTCAAGCCTGTAATCCCAGCACTTTGGGAGGCCGAGGCGGGTGGATCACGAGGTCGAGAGATCGAGACAATCCTGGTCAACGTGGTGAAACCCCGTCTCTACTAAAAATACAAAAAATTAGCTGGGCATGGTGGCGCGTGCCTGTAATCCCAGCTACTCAGGAGGCTGAGGCAGGAGAATTGCCTGAACCCAGGAGGTGGAGGTTGCGGTGAGCCGAGATCGTGCCATTGCACTCCAGCCTGGGTAACAAGAGCGACACTCTGTCTCAAAAAAAAAAAAAAGAAAAAAAAAACTAAAGGTAAAAAAATTAACTCTATGTCATCCTATTAAAAACACAAGACATTGCCTGGGTATGATGGCTCACACCTATAATTCCAGCACTTCGGGAGGCCAGGAGCTGGTCTCAAACTTCTAGGCAGCATAGAGAGTCCCCGTCTTTACCAAAAACAAAAAAATAAAAATATATTAGCTGTCATGGTGGCACACGCCTATAGTCCTAGCTACTTGGGAGGCTGAGGTGGGAGGATGCTTGAGGCCAGGAGCTCCAGGCTGCAGTGAGCCGTGATTATGCCACCCACTCTCCAGCCAGGGCAACAGCAAGACAGTCAAAAAGAAAAACTGTAAGATATCATTTCTTCATTCATTCATTATCCATTCATTCATTCAACAAATAGTTACTTGTCACCTGTATGGGTCAGGCCCTGTTCCCCCAGGCCCTCTGACCTGCATAGTACAAAGCCATCTGTCCCTGGAAGTCCTGCCTTCTTGCCAGGTTTATATCCAACACAAGTGGAAAATCACCAACAGCTTTGACCTCTGAACAGACACTGCCGGAAGTCATGGAAGTGAACTGGGGTAAGGAATTGGTTTTTTCCATCTCACTCGAGTGTAACAGGCCAGTTGCTCTGTGGCGCCAGGGGCCAGGAAGTGAGGGAGAAGAGGCAGGAAATATGTATTGGCTTCTACACAGAAACTTCATATCTGTAAAGAATGAGACTATTTTGTTTAAACGTTTCTAGTTGGAATGTTTCTCAGTTTTACATTTCTTGAGGCTCTTAATTAATTTTGTTTCTTATCTGGGCTGCATTCTGGTTGTTAATGTTTCAAAAAGTGGCTGAGCATTTTTAACGCTGTGTAAAAGAAGGCTGTTGCCTTTAAATACAAGGCGGCAAAGAAAAAGAAAAGCTGTTAAGTACAAATATGGGCCAGGCATGGTGGCTCACGCCTATAATCCCAGAACTTTCAGAGGCTGGGAGGTGGGGGTGGGGTTGGGGGGGATCACCTGAGGTCAGGAGTTCGAGACCGGCCTGGCCAACATGGTGAAACTATGTCTACTAAAAATACAAAAATCAGCCAGTTGTGGCGGTGCATGCCTGGAATCCCAGCTACTTGGGAGGCTGAGGCAGGAGAATTGCTTGAACCCAGGAGGTAGAGATTGCAGTGAGCCAAGATCATGCCACTGCACTCCAGCCTGGGTGACAGAGTGAGACGTAATCTCAAAAAATATATAGATGGATAGATAGATAATGGGAAGCCATTTTAGCTAGAGTAATAGAAAAAAAAATATTTTCATTTAAAAATACGGTCATGCTAAAATCACTTTAGCTTATAAAATAGACATTTTGATGTCCCTGGTTCTACTAGAACCTGTCAGTGACATTTGTACAACTTTTGTGAAGTAGAAGCAGATTGATCTCCTGCTTAGCTAAGGTTCAGAGCCAATTTGTCTCATTTTCACTCTACTTTGATAATACAAAACTGTAATAATGGGGAAATGTATCACCATAAGGCAGAGGCTATTAAGTGTTCAGACCTTTGTTGCTAAACAATTTAAAGCAAAATAAGTCCAAAGACTAGGGGAAGTTGGAAAAAAAAAACCCACATCACTTTAAATGTTTATTATAGTGGTATGCTGTAGAGATATTGTTGTGAAGTATTGCACTGTATTATTTGTGTACTATATAGAGATATTATAGAGAGATATAGTTGTATTTTATTGTTGTATCATAGTAATATCTTGGTTTATGGTTGTATATTATAGAGCTGCAAACATAATAAAAATTAGAACACTTGAAAGAAATTACATAAAGGCCTTAATACAGTGAGACGATTGGAACTGCCTTCATTTCTATGGTAGCCACAGTAACAGAAATTCAGTGTGTCCTTTGTCAACACAGGAAGTTTATTACAAAGACATCATTCAAAACAAGAGTCACATTCTGGGAACTCCCTTTAAGATGAAATGGGAAAAAAAATCAGAAACTTTGTTTACTTTTATAGCCTTTAAAGTACTTTTTTGTAGAGATTAGGCTAGTCACTGCAAAATAAATTCATAAATTATAGTTTAATTCACTTCTTCTATGGACTGCTTGAATGAGTCCTTGAAAATTCCACACCCTTATAGCATGATTATTTTCTTTTGCCAAAGGTATTCATCTGCCTATCTAAAGGTATGCATTAGTTACACGCCTCCTCTGCCCCATAAGGCAGGCTTTTGAAGCATTAACATTTTTGTTTTTCTTGTTTGTGGGTGGGGGTGGGGGTGGTGTTTTGAGACAGGGTCTCCGTGTCACCCAGGCTGGAGTGCGATTGCCCATTTACAGCTCATTGCAGCCTCAAACTCCTGGGCTCAAGTGAGCCACCTCCGCCTCCCCAGTAGCTGGGACTACAGGTGCATGCCACCACACCTGGCTAATTTTTGTATTTTTTGTAGAGATGAGGTTTTGCTGTGTTGCCCAGACTAATCTCGAACTCCTGGGCTCAAGTGATTCACCTGCCTTTGCCTTGAAAGTGCTGGGATTACAGGTGTGCGCCACCACGCCTAGACTTGAAGCATTTACTCTGGGGAGCTGACAAAATGCTGGTAAGCATGTTATATCTATAAATTAGTCAATTATTGATCACGGACTTGGGGAACTTCTCAATACTTGACTTTAGGTGTAAAACATATGTCAGTTTTGCTGCTATTAATCATTCACTTATTCCTTCAACAAATGTTTACTGACCAATGTCTGTGAGAAAACAAAGATGAATCAGATGGAGATTTGCCCTCGGGATGCTTACCACAAACTGATGTGTTAGTGGTACCAGAATGTGAATAACCACAGTATAAGAGCACATTCATAGGGAAGAGTGTCGTGGACCGTCCGGGACGGGTAGGCACGTCTGCCCGGGGGTCTCTCGACCTGCAAGAGGGTCCCAATACCTGGAAGAGGGAGTGCGCCTGGAAAAATAATAAAGACAGAGAGAAAGAAAGCGAGGCGTCTGGAGGGCTGATACAAAAATTTGCCTAAACAGCAAATTTTATTTTTCAAAGGCCAGGAATAAATACACTTTCTTGGCTCTGGTTTACATCATAGTAAAAATGCAAATGTATGCCTCACATGGCCTATGCAATAGAGAAGTCAGATATGCAATTGATTGTATAAAGTAACAGAATTTCCTATAATCACAAAGTTTGTTTGCATCCAAACATTATTCACAAAGTTCGTTTATATCCAAACATTATTCCTCCTGGCTGCAGGTGTCTCTGGTTTGACCTTGTTTTAGAACTGAAATGTGAAAAGGTTTTTTGGTTTTGCTCATCAGAATATCTTTTAATCGGATTCTCCTTTGTCTACTCCTGACTCAACTCAACTTCCCCATTCAGGAATCTCTGAGTCAGGAATCAAAGCCATCCCTTATGGTGGCATTTTGCTTTGCAAATATCGACAGTTAAACCATTATCTAGGGTACAAGGCACTCAGGTAAGTAAGGTTTAAGGCTTATTCTTGAAGAGTCATAAAAAGGTTAAAAGCAGGAACCGGTTGCTGGTAAGGGGTTACTCGGTCTAGCAGCAACGCATAGTTTTAGGCCCATACGATATTGTGGTTGATATTAGAAACTGATCATTCATCTTTCAGTTCCTATATTTCCAGATAGCTCGACTGCCTCCAGTAGGAAACTGTGTTTGGGATCAAACTCACCGTATAGTGAGACTCACGCCTTATAGGGGTCTCACACGGGAATGTTCCCCACAGAAGAGACAGACAGCATGCTGGGTTCAGAGGCAGGTGCGATGCTTGCTGTATGGTGAGGTTATGGTATAGGACAGGCGTCCCCAAACTTTTTACACAGGGGGCCAGTTCACTGTCCCTCAGACCATTGGAGGGCCACCACATACTGTGCTCCTCTCACCGACCACCAATGAAAGAGGTGCCCCTTCCTGAAGTGCAGCGGGGGGCTGGATAAATGGCCTCAGGGGCCCGCATGTGGCCCTCAGGCCGTAGTTTGGGGACACCTGGTATAGGAGAAGGTGGATTACAGGAATCAGAAAAGGCTTTGTGGACACAGAAGCATTTAATCTGTGCTTGGATGAGTAGGAGGGATTGAGCTAGCTTCAAGACTGAGGGAAAGAGCATCTCTGTTAAAGAAATCCCTCGACTGGCTGGGAGCGGTGGCTCACATCTGCAATCCCGGCACTTTGGGAGGCCGAGGCAGCCGGATCACTTGAGGTCAGGAGTTCCAGACCAGCCTGGCCAACATGGTGAAACCACCATCTCTATTAAAAACACAAAAATTAGCCAGGTATGGTGTGTGCACCTCTAGTCCCAGTTATTTGAGAGGCTGAGGCAGGAGAATCGCTTGAACCTGGGAGGCAGAGGTTGCAGTGAGCCTAGATCTCGCCACTGCACTCCAGCCTGGGTGACAAGAGCAAAACTCACTCTCCAAAAAAAAAAAAGAAAAAAGAAAGAAAGAAATCTCTTGGTACCATGAAGGCATCCCCAGAGCAGACAGGTATATACAGACGTGAGCTTTAATATCTACTCCCAGACAAAGGAGGCGTTGGCCGAATTCATTCTGTCCTTGTTGCAGACTGAATTGTGTCCTTCAAAATTCACATGTTGAAGCCCCAACGCCCAGTACCTTAGAATGTAACTGTATTTGGAGAGTAGGTAGTTAAGTTACAATGAGGTCACTGGAGTGAGCTCTAACCCAAAATGACTGCTGTCCTTGTAAGGAGTTCAGGACGCAGACTCAAAGGGAAGACCACGTGGAGAAGCAGGGAAAACGCGGCCATGTGGAAACCAAAGAGGGAGGTCCGGGGAGAAGCCAACACCACGAACACCTTGATCTCAGACGTCCAGCTCCAGAATCATAAGGTAATATATGTCTGTTTCGTAAGCCACATGGTCTGTGATATTTCCTTATGGCAGCCCCAGCAAACGAACACAGTCCCTACCGAGACTTCAGACATTCTCCTGGTTTGAACCTGGTTTGGTTTCCAGGCTCCCTACCTTGCTCCAGCTTACAACTCAGCCCAGCAAGGCTGATGGACCACTGTGATGGGCCATCTCACCAGCGGGTCCTGACCCACAAGGTATGCCGGTGGAAGAACCCACATACAACAGTGAAAGCAACAAGAAATACCCCTCCAAGACTGACTAGCCTTGTGATTGGCACTGGGTCATTGGTGTTTATGTTGCCTCGATTCACAAGTACTTATAATGGGCCAGCTCCTGTCTCAAGCCCTTTACTCATTGAATCCTTTCTCTAAGCATATAGGGGAGATACTATTATTGGGCTGCTTTTCCACATGAGGAATCTGAGGAACCAAGAGGGATTTTTGCCCAAGACCACAACTAGTAAGTGGTTTGGGATTTGGGTCGAGGCATTTAGGCTCCAGACTTCACTTTCTTAACAGTTAATTATACCCAGCTGCCTCTGGATAGAAATGTTTTCAGCCAGGAGCATACTTCACAGGCCCACATATAAGGGAGGGGTGACCCTGAGCATTACTGCAGGTTAGGCTACCTCTGTCATGGGACCCCTGCAAACCCACGTGCTCCAGACACACGACAATGCAAGACCAAATATAACAGGACTGTCTTCAGTACATTTAGAGCACGGAAGGAGAAAGAAAAACCTCTTGAATGTGAAATTGTCCAGGGCAAAGTCATTATTTACTTCATTGCTGATTGTCTAGGGCTTAGAATCATGCCTGGCACATTAGTAAGCATTTGATAAATATCTATTGAATGAAAAAAAATTAGGGGTGGAAATGAAGAGTGAACTATTTGAAAAGGAGCGTTTAAAACAGCTGGCTATGAAGTGATGCCAGCATATCATTTGTAACTCTATTCTCATTCATCTCGACTTTAATCCTGCTTCAGTTTTGAATAGACGCCCAAGCGTAGGCTTTTATTTATTTTTTTTTAGGACAGAGTTTTTATTCCCTGACTCTGAGAAAAAATAAAAATGTCAGGGTTTTTCTCTGTCACCCAGGCTGGAGTGCAGTAGCATGATCACAACTCACTGTAGCCTTGAACTCCTGGGCTTAAACAATCCTCCTGCCTTAGCCTCCAGAGTAGCTGGGTCTACAAGCATGCACCTCCACACCCAGGTAATTTTTCTTTTTTTCTTTTTGTAGAGGCAAGGTCTCACTATGTTGCCCAAATTGGTCTTGAACTCCTGGCCTCAAGCAATCCTCCCACCTCACCCTCCTAAAGTACTGAGATTATAGGTATGAGCCACCACATTTGACCCAAACATATTCTTTACTGAAAAATAATTATATCATGCGTCAACAAACAGGCTTCATTGCACAGCATCACTTACTTCTTCAAAAAATATTTATTGGCTGGGTGAGGTAGCTCATGCCTGTAATCCCAGCACTTTGGGAGGCCGAGGCAGGCGGATCACCTGAGGTCAGGAGTTTGAGAATATGTTGCCTGGCCAACGTAGTGAAACCCCATCTCTAATAAAAATTTAAAAATTAGGCGTGGTGACATGTGCCTATAGTCCCAGCTACTTGGGAAGCTGAGGCAGGAGAATCGCTTGAATCCAGGAGGTGGAGGCTGCAGTGAGCTGAGATTGTGCCACTGCGCTCCAGCCTGGATGAAAGAGGGAGACCTTGTCTCAAAAAAAAAAAAAAAAAAAAAATTGGGGTGCCTATTAAGAGTCGATACTGTGCTGAAAATGTTAGAGTGAAGAACTGTAAAGATGTGACCAGATGACGGGTGGTAGAGACGATGAGTGGCAGGCTTGAACTGGTTTAGGTAGGATAAACCAGGCAGAGGGCGCAGCAAGTACAAAGGCCCAGGGGCACATATGCCCTTTGAGTGTTTGAGAGACAGCAAGTTGGTCAGTATGCCTGCAACGTAGATACAAGGTCAGAAAGGGAAGCAGGGGTCAGATCACGTGGGGCCACAGAGAATGAAGTAAGGAATTTCGACTTTTTTCTAAATCCAGTGGGAATCTACTGGAGGGTTTTAAGAAGAGGAACATGAGTTAAATAACTTTTTAAAAACATCACCCTGGGTGCTTAGTTGGAGAAGGGATTGAGAAAGGATAAAAATGAAAGGGGAAAGAGTCCAATTGCTCCTCCACTGTTCAGGAGAAAACTGAGGGCAGCTTAGACTACAGCTGGCAGCAGAGATGCAGAGAGGTGGGCAGATCTGAGATGTAACTTAAGGGTGAAGTTCTGTTGCTGCATTGGATCTAGGGAATGAGGGAGAGAAGGAAGAGCCACTGATAACCCAGAGACTTTAGCCTGTTGGCTGGAAGGGGCTGGCGCCACTACCTGAGAGATGAAAAAATAGGCTCACACCTGTAATCCCAGAACGTTGGGAAGCTAGGCAGGTGGATCACAAGGTTAAGATTGAGACTAGCCTGGCCAACACAGTGAAACCCCGTCTCTACTAAAAATACAAAAATTAGCTGGGTGTGGTGGTGCATAGTCCCAGCTACTCAGGATGCTGAGGCAGCAGAATTGCTTGAACCCAGGAGGTGGAGGTTGCAGTGAGTTGAGATTGCACTACTGCACTCCAGTCTGGTGACAGAATGAGACTCTATCAAAAAAAAAAAAAAAGAAAAAAGAAAAAAGAAAAGAAAAAAAAAAGAAATCAAAAAATAGGGAGAAAGAGTTTTGAAGGAAAATCAAGCCTCTTACATTGGGCATGTTGGTTTTGAGACACCTGTTAGATCTACAGATGGATTTGGCAGGGAAGAAGTGGAATAGGCACGTCTGTGTTTCAGGAGGGAGATGGAGATTTAAGAGTCACTGGGCTACAGATGCTCTGAAATCCATGGGTTTCCAAGAGAGGAGCCTCTGGAAAGATGGAAGGAAGGAAAAGAGAGCCCTGGGCCGGGCGCGGTGGCTCAAGCCTGTAATCCCAGCACTTTGGGAAGCCAAGGCTGGTGGATCACGAGCTCAAGAGATCGAGACCATCCTGGTCAACATGGTGAAACCCCGTCTCTACTAAAAATACAAAAAATTAGCTGGGCATGGTGGTGCGTGCCTGTAATCCCAGATACTCAGGAAGCTGAGGCAGGAGAATTGCCTGAACCCATGAGGCGGAGGTTGCAGTGAGCTGAGATCACGCCATTGCACTCCAGCCTGGGTAACAAGAGCAAAACTCCGTCTCAAAAAAAAAAAAAAAAAAAAAGAGCCCTGGTGCATACCAACACTCAGAGTTCTAGAAGAAGAGGGGAACCAGCAAAGACAATTGAGAAGAAGAAACTTGGGAGGCAGAAGGAGGACCAGGGAGTGGCAGGGAGGTGAAGGAGAAGAGCGTGTATCCCCCAGACAGAATGGTCAGCTGCGTTCAGTGAGGATGAAGTTGTCATAGAGTTTTGTTTTTGTGATAGAAGGCTTGGAGTGAATTTGAAAGAAAATGGAGGTTGAAAAAAAATGCGATATAAGACCAGGTGCGGTGGCTCATAACTATAATCCCAGCACTTTGGGAGGCTGAGGCAGGTGGATCACCTGAGGTCAGGAGTTCGAAGCCAGCCTGGCCAACATCGTGAAACCCCATCTCTACCAAAAACACAAAAATTAGCCAGCCGTGGTGGCACATGCCAGTAATCCCGGCTACTTGGGAGGCTAAGGCAGGAAAATCACTTGAACCCAGGGGCAGGAGGTTGCAGTAAGCCGAGATCACGCCATTGTACTCCAGCCTGGGGGAGAAGAGCAAAACTCCATTTCAAAAAAAAAAAAAAAGGAAAGGGAAAAATGAGGACACAGAGTACAGATAATGATTTCAAGTAGTTTTTTTGTTTTTTGACTGGGGAGTAAAGAAACGAGTTGGTAGCTGAAGGGGATTCAGCATAGGGTGGAGGTCTTTAGGATGACAGGTGATAGATTAGAAGATGCTGAAGAGACTGACTGAGGAAGAGGGAGGAGGATAAAGTGCAGACAGATCTGAAGAGACAAGAAGGGGTGATATCCAGAGGACAGGCGGGGGTTCCCTTGTGCTTGGATGGGGATCCCTTGCCCTCTACCTTCTTAGGACAGGAGGCAAGAATACGAGCAGATACTGGTGATTAATGGTGAGATGATGAGGATGTTCCTTTCTGTTTCCATGTTCTTAAGGAATTATGAAGCCATGTCATCAGCTGAGAATGAATAATTAAGAGGAAGATGGAAAATGAGATAAGTGGAGAGAGGAAAAAGTCATGATATAAATATCTTAGAGAAAAAAAGAGAGCAGGGGATGTGGAAGGTTTTCAGGAAGTGCCGGGGTCCATTCAAAATCTGTGTGTCGCTTGTCTATGATGAGACTTAGTGGCACCATTGTCCAATTATCTGCAACATTTGTTTGCACAGGTGTGGTTATGCTCAAGGATGGGCTGTGTTAGGTGGGTAAATGGAGAGAACAAAAAAGCAAATCCCTCCCTTTCTTTCTTTCTTTCCTTCCTTCCTTCTTTCTTTCTTTCTTTTTTTTTTTTTTTTTTTGAGACAAAGTTTCACTCTTGTTACCCAGGCTGGAGTGCAATGGCACGATCTCGGCTCACCGCAACCTCCGCCTCCTGGATTCAAGCAATTTTCCTGCCTCAGCCTCCTGAGTAGCTGGGACTACAGGCACATGCCACCATGCCCAGTTAATTTTTGTATTTTTAGTAGAGACGGGGTTTCACCTTGTTGACCAGGATGGTCTCAATCTCTTGACCTCGTGATCCACCTGCCTTGGCCTCCCAAAGTGCTGGGATTATAGGCGTGAGCCACCATGCCTGGTCTCTTTCTCTCTCTCTCTCTCTCTCTCTTTCTCTTTTTCTTTCTTTCTTTCTGACAGAGTCTTGCTCTGTTACTCAGGCTGAAATGCCATGGCAGGCTCTTTGCTCACTGCAGCCTCCACCTCCCAGGTTCAAGCAATTCTTGAGCCTCAATCTCCTGAGTAGCTGGACTACAGGCTAATGTTACCAACCCCAGCTAACTTTTGTATTTGTTTAGCAGAGATGGGATTTCGCCATGTTGACCAGGCAGGTCTCAAACTCCTGATCTCAAGTAATCTGCCCACCTCGGCCTCCCAAAGTGCTGGATTAAAGGCATGAGCCACTGTGCCTGGCCAAGGGTGGTTCTCAAGCAAGTGATTATAGTGTTGGACCTTGGAGTCTAAGGCTGGGTAAGAAGAATGAGAAGAACATTCGACAAATGACGCTCAGTAAACTGGTAGTCCTGATGAGACAGGAACATACGGAATTTCAGCTTTTTGGTAAGCAGGCCAGAGGGTAAGATATTATGGTCAGGAGAGCGGAATGCTTAAGCTTGAGATTTGCAGAGACCATTTTCCCTACTAACCTCTCTTTATTAGTAGGCAGAGTAGTTAACAATCCATGGGATGAGATTCCAAAAATGGAAGAAAAAGGTACATTGTTCTCACCTCACCCAAAATATATCTGCTTATTTCTTCTCAGTGGGCTGACATTGCATAATGAGAAAACCATTCCCTTCATCAAGTTACTTCCTATGACTTTCGCCAGCCCAGTAGGGCACTGCTTCCACTCCTTCTAGCGAATATGAATAAAGCACCTCTCGGCCCAAAGTCCCAAGCGAACAACTCACCCATGCACAGCACTGGGCAAGACCAGTGCTGCTCCCAACTTCGTGCAATGAGCATCCTCCCCACTTCGCCTTTCCGTGAGAATTAATTTATCAGATTACTTCCAGAGCATGAGTTTTTATGTGATAAAGAGAAGAGAAGGCACCTCTAGTCCCAGTGCCGGGGAGGCAAAGTCGGGAGGACTGCTTGACCCTGGGAGTTCAAGAGACCAGCACTGGCAAGAAAACGAGACCTTATCCAGACAAAAAATTTTTAAAATTAGCTGGGCATGGTGGCATGCACCTGTGGCCCCAGCTACTCGGGAGGCTGAGGCAGGAGAATCACTTAAACCTGGGAGGTAGAGGTTGCAATGAGCAGAGATCATGTCACTGCACTCTAGCCTGGGCGACAGAATGAGACTCTGTCTCAAAACATAAAAAAATAAAATCATGTAAATAAATGTGGAGGAAGAAAAATGAAAGGGACATAAACCAAAGTTATGGCTATAGGGTGGGATTATGGGTGATTTTTAGTTTATTGGGGATTTTTATGTGCTTTACTGTTTTTGTGGAAAAGCAAACTAAATGTAAGCGTATTTAACATGAAGAAAAATATCCAATTTGATTTTATTTCCTAGCTGTGCAAAATGTATTCATCAACCAGACTCAAAATGCTGCCATAAGACTTAATTAACTCTAACAAATAAAGCTTTTCATCCTCATTATTTATTCTGATAGCCTCCATCACAAAAAAGCAGTTGACTCAGACTAAATGACTTGATAATAAAAAGAAATTCTTGCGAAGAAAATAACGATGCCCACGAACAGACAAAAAAGTACAGCGTTCTTTTCCTAATACATATTTTTTTTCCAATAACAAAATTACCCTACTTTGGAAAACGTAGTTAATGCAATGGCTTGAGCCTGAAGACAGGCGGTATTGTAAGACAAAACCAGTTCCAGCATCTTCCTGGAGTCTGACTGGGGGCATCGCTGGAGGAAATGATGGGGAATAATTGCAGGGACTGCCATCCGTCTCTGCATGCAGAGAAGTCGCAGGGTGCTCTGGGACGTGCCGCCTTCTATCCCACTTCCTATGGTTCTACTTTAGACTCCAAACAGAGCAAGAGGGACAGGAGGGGGTGAAAGGAGGACAATGAATCCAAAGATGGAAAAGCAGAGAAGATTTAAAAAGAAAAGACGGAGGGACAAAAAAGAGAGGCCCATGTCACCTGTTCTATACCCTTTGGAATGAAAGAGGGAGGGTGATACATTTAGTATTCAATAAGGCAATCATTCATTCATTCATTCTCTCAACAAATGCAAACCAGGTGTCCACAATAGCCCAGGCTTTAGGTTATGACAAGAAAGGAAACCATCTTTCCATCCAGGTGAACACAATAGTCCAGTCTTCTAGATGGACTTTTTTTTAAAGACAGGGACTCAGTTTGTTGCCCAGGCTGGAGTGCAGTGGCACCATCATGGCTGACTGGAGCCTTGAACTTGGGCTCAAGCAATGCTCCCACCTCAGCCTCCTGAGTAGCTGGGACTACAGGTGAGCATCACCAAGCTGCCTAATGTTTAAATGTTTTGGGCTGGGCATGGTGGCACATGCCTATAATCTCAACACTTTGGGAGGCCAAGGCAGGAGGATCACTGGAAGGTAGGAGTTTGAGACCAGCCTGGGCAACAAATCAAGACCTTGTCTCTATAAAAATAAATAAATTAATTAAATAAAATAATTCTTTTTTACAGATGGGGTCATGCCATGTTGCCAGAGTTGGTCTTGAGCTTCTGGGTTCAAGCAATCTTCTCACCCTCCCAAAGTGCTGGGATTGCAGGTGTGAGTAAAATATATTTTTTGTTATTCCTCTATACAAAACTTTATGACCTTGGCTCATGACCTTGCTTAATAAACCTGGCTCATAATTTTCCAGTCCCTGGAAACACTTTTTCCTCCACATTGCCTAGACAAATTCTAATTATTCTTTGCTGCTTATCTGTTCCACAGTCATCTTGAACTATTTCCTCCAAGCCATGTGGGTTTTTCATTGAACTCCAATTTCATGAATAATGAGCACTAGACTTACGTGTTAGAATAACGTTATTCTTCATTTGTGTGAATTTTCCACTCAGTTTGTAAGGTAGGTCTTATGGGTTCCTCACACGAATACATCAAGAATAAGAAACATCTATTTAGCATCTCTATGAACTATTGACTAGGTAATAGGTATAAGGTAAAATCATGAATGAAACATGGATCCTGCACATGAGAAGCTCAATTGTCTCAATGGAACAAAATAAGCATGTTACCCGTACGTTTTGCTTGGCAGTATCTGCAGGCTGTGTGGGTATCGTTTATCACCTGAGAGGACACAGTCTTAGTGGTAACCCAGCTCAAGCACACCCTATGTGTAGAGAACACAGAAACGACTCTTTTTTTTTTTTTTGGAGACGGAGTCTTGCTCTGTCACCAGGCTGGAGTGCAGTGGCGCAATCTCAGCTCACTGCAACCTCCGCCTCCTGGGTTCAAGCGATTCTTCCACCTCAGCCTCCCGCATAGCTGGGACCACAGGCACGTGCCACCATGCCCGGCTATTTTTTGTATTTGTAGTAGAGACAGGGTTTCACCCTGTTGGCTAGGATGGTCTCGATCTCTTTACCTCATGATCCACCCGTCTCGGCCTCCCAAAGTGCTGGGATTACAGGCATGAGACAGAAACAACTCTTAATTTTCACATCCAATCCCCCTGCCATTCACACAGAACCCTTTCCATTCAGATGCTTATTACAAGTTCCATTGACTTCTGGTCTCTCTCCCACTTTTCTTCCTTTATGTTTCCAGGGGCCTTTTCTGTGCCACCCTCCCCCCACCCTCCTCCTGCAGGATCCTAAGACACTAGGCATTGTCCTGGGCTCTACTGCACCGGGGCAGCTGCAGGCCCCTGGTGGGCCTGGGTCTCACATGTTCTTCAGACTGGACAGTCCATGAGACAAACAAACCTTTCTCCTGCTAATCTTAAGACCACTCCTGTAGTCTGTGATCAAGGTAAAAAGGAAGGACCCAGGACCTGAAACATCCTGAACTGACGCAAATCCACAGCAAAATACAGTCGCATGCCGCATAGTGACCTTTTGGTCAGCAATGGACCAAAGATATGACAGCAGTCCCATAAGATTATAATCACGTGTTTTTACTGTACTTTTTCTTTCTTTTTTTTTAAATTGAGACCAAGTCCATTCTGTCACCCAGGCTGGAGTTTAGCGATGTGATCTCAGCTCACTGCAACGTTTGCCTCCTGGGTTCAAGCAATTTTCCTGCCTCAGCCTCCCAAGTAGCTGGGATTACAGGCATGCACCACCACATCCAGTTAATTCTTGTATTTTTAGTAGAGACGGGGTTTCACCATGTTGGCCAGGCTGGTCTCAAACTCCTCACCTCAAATAACCCATCCGCCTAGGCCTCCCAAAGTGCTGGGATTACAGCATGAACCACCGTGCCCAGCCTTACTGTACTTTTCTATGTCTAGATATGTTTCCATACACACTTACCTCATCATATCTCCCAGCTCCCTGTCGCATAGGAGCTTCTCCGTATTTTATTATACATTAATGAGCTGAGAATAAGA